TTTTAGATATGTTCTTTTATGCTGGCCTGTTGTGTGTCTAATACTTAACAGCTTAGACCATGTTAAAGGAATTGATTCTGGTTTGCAATCGTAGAGAAAAATGACAGTAAGGAGCTGGATTGAAACCTGTTTCTAAAAAGATGACAATATTTCACATGATACAGAAGAGATTTTCCCAGACTTCATTTCACTGGCTTCCTGCTTCTTGTCTACTCCATTTATATGAGCTGAAATATTCATCCCTAAGTTCAAACAGTGGGCTTAATTCTGAGTGGTGCCCAGGAACAGGTTTATTATAATTTGTTATATCTTTCGTAAACAGGCCTCCCTCAGAAAAAAAGGTAGCTCACAACATTTGGTCTGTCAGCAGTGTGCTAATTTATTTCTGTCACTGATTTTCCGACTCCTTTGTCTCTTCTACCTGTAGGTTCTAAGGTTTCTCTGCAGTCTCCAGTCTCCTTTTATCCCCGTCCAACTGCTCCTCAGCAGCAATGGGGCTGAAGACAGCCTTGATGCTCATTTAGGGTGCTCACAAGCGTTCGGAAAGCTCAGGTTAGGCAACCTGCTTTGAGCTGCCAGCATCAGGGTTGGGATCCACTGCACACAACTGTTTGTGTGGGCAGCTGGAGGCAAGTGAGCCTGTGGGAGGGAGCAGGGGAGGTCTGGAGGCATTGGGGACTGGGGTTTGTTGGCAGATCCAAGGCAGGGGGAGGGGGTGGCTGGTCTGCCTGGGGTTGCCTGGTCCAGCAGTGTGTTTGGGGGAGTGGGATAAACTAGCCTGGTCAGAGTGGAGGGGGTAAAGATAGCACAGCCCTGGGGCTGTAGAGAGTGACGGGGGTTTCCCCAGCCCCAGAGCTGTACTGGGGACCTGTGCAAGCATTCAGTAGGATGGGTTAACCCATGTTAGGTTGGGTTACTCCATGCTGATATAAAGTTAGTTCTTGACTGCCAAGATCTAATTTTGGCATTGGGCACACCATTTTTAGCATGACTTAAGCCCTGCAGACTCTGCACCTGACCATTTAAATCACTCTGAGTTTCGTTAGGGTGATCTAAATGTAATGCTTGTATGCACCCTTAGTTTCTGTTGTTTTGTATTCACCAAGTATCCAACTGCAACTGCATGGCTTGTATCTGCAGCTATCTGGCTTTCTAAGTTTTCCCACCCAAGTATTAACTAGTCTGAGGACTGCTTAGCATTCAAGATCATATGAAAGCAGGGGTATTTAGATTAACTAGGCTGAGGACATTTAGTGTGGCATGGCTGCTCAGACTATATAAACCAATTATTGTTAATAGGTCAGTAACACCTTGAAGAACCCACTCAGTATAATTGTTTGGAAATACTGCATAAAATACTTAATACCCAGCTTTTATATAGTACTTTCCATCAGTAGATCTTAAGGTACTTTTAAGGTCAATCTCCCATTTTGCAGATAAGGTTGATTATATTCCTCTGGATGCATCTACACATGCACCCGATTGCTCAGTTGTTACTGTGCAGTCATTTAGTACTTGCTAAGGCAAGTACTTTAGCAAGTACTAAATGACTGTGCAGTAACCACCTGTACAGTGCAGTCCCGGCTCTGCACGGGTTGTTTCCAACCCTACTGTGCAGTAGCGGTGGTGTCAGAGTTCATGCCTGTTGATGCTCACTATGGCGATGTAGTGTCTCATTCAGATTCACCCCATGTGTAGTTGACCCTATACCAGTGGATGCCAGGCTTTTGGTAGTCATGCCACAGGTTAGCCCCATGCCTTCCCTGAGTGCCACTCCCATCCCCTTCCTCTGCCTGATCTTCTCTGCTTTCCACTCCCTGTCCTTGCTTACTACCCAACCTACTCCTTTGCTTTCTGCTTCTTGCCTGATCTGCTACTGTGCTGCCTGTCTCCTTCATGTTCAGCCATTTGCCACACAGAGGCTGCCTGTGCCAGTTGTGGCACTTATGTTGCAGTTTGGCCACCTTTGCACCATACAAACTTTATTGGGAAAATTGGGAAATTGACCTTAAAAGTACGTTGAGACCTACTGATGGAAAGTACTGTCAAGGAGTCTGATCATCAAGCAGACCTGGCTGAGTCAAGTACATGATGTACCACACTTGCCCCTGATCACTCACTGTTGTGGCTGACCCAGTTCTCTGCAACTGGATTGGCTGCTGAAAGCACAACTCACCCCTTTTAAACATACCTGCAGCCTGAGGTTGCAGGTATGCCTTCACACAGCTTCAGTCTGTTTTGGCAAGCCTTGTGTAACTTTCCCTGGTTCTTCTGATTTATGACCTGGCTTTGGTTTTGCCTGAACCTGATCTTGGATCTTTCCTGAAGCTAAGTGCGGATTGTGCTCTCTCTGGTTTTCCTGGCATCCTGACCTGGCTTGGCTTCCTTGATCCTGATCGTGGATTTTCACTGGAACCTGGCACTGGTTCTATGACCCCTGGCTCTTGACCTCTCCTTATGTTTTTGAATACATCTCCTGGATCTCCCCACTGGGCTCTAGTAACCTGTGGTTCCTTCCTGCTAACTTCCTAGTTGTCCCCCAGGGCCTGTCCACAGGCCTGGCCACCTTTATCCTGGCTGAACCGTCACAAGTACTATATAAAAGCTGGGTAATAATTATTTTATGTAGTATTTTCAACCAGTTATTTGAGTAGATTCTTAGAGGTGTAACTGAAATACTAATAGTAATTGGTTGTATGCAGTCTGAGCAGCCATGCAGACTGACTGCCCCTGCTCTCATATGATCTTGAAAACTACACAGTCCTCAGCCTTCCTAATACTTGGGTGGGAGAACTTGGAGAGCCATACAAATGCTTGCCAAAATTTAGCATTAGCCACAAAGAGTTTACAATCAAAATATAAGGGGAGAGTAAACAGAAGGTTGCAGCAAATGGATGGAGAGAACACAAGACAAACAAGAAGACCATGCCTGTCAGCATGATAGGCAAATGGAGCTGCATTCCTGATTAGTATGGTCATTTTCATAAATGATTAATGATAGAATTGATTCTTGTTTTAACAAAGTTTACTGATCTTTTGAAGGACACTGCATTTCTTCTGTGCGCTAATCAGTGTTTGTTTAGAGAGTTATTGCCTACATTCGCTTCTGAAATCAATCTGTGGATGGAAACGTTTTGAAGTTCTGGACAATATTTGCACACATGGAATATTTTTGTCTTTCACAATATGCTGTCTCTTGGCAGGTTGCTACTTTTATGAGGAAGGTCAAATTTAACAGTTTTGGTAGAAACTCTTGGAGAATCATTTACTTAACTGAAAAGCTGCAGTAACCTTAAGAAGCTACCTAGTATATAAAATGAAATGTTATTACATAATGTTGTAATACCCAGCATTTATATCAGTAGATCTCATAGTGTTTTCCCAATGATAATGGCAGCACTTTCCCCATATCACAGGTAAAGAAGCTGCAGCACAGAATGGGGACATGACTTGTCTAAAGTCACCCGGCAAGATAGAACCGAAATATTCTGAGTCTCAGCCCAATGCTTCAGCCACTTAGACCACACTGCCACATCATGATAATGATATTATTATTATTAATAGTTGTTGTTGTTGTTGTGATTAATATCTTTCAGTCCTTAATTCAGTTATATAAAAGGGCAATAGCCATTTTATAAACTTCCCATTTAGTATTTTATTTAGTTTTGCTCTGTTAGTGATATGTATTAACTATGTTAGTCTGAAGTCAAATAGAAGGCAGGGTAGACTTACACTTTATAGAGTAACCAAAGTAGTTCAGCTTTCCTTGAAATTGTTCTCCTTGATTTCTGAGGCTTTTGGGTGCTAGAAATTAGAGCAGAGAGCCTCCTGTATTCACACTGGGTGTGTCTACATGTTCATTAATGCACAGTGGCTGCTGCACATTAAATTTCATACTTGTATAATCAAGTACTAAATTAATGAGTAGTAAATGGAGTTACTGCACAGTAGTGCTGATGAATGCTGTTTTAGTTATGCTACTGTGCAGTAGCCTAATAATACTGTGCGGTAGCGCATTAGCACTGTTTGTGCTGTGATGTGCTACTGAGCAGTATTATTAGGCTACTGCCCAGTTAACATCTTGTGTAGATGTGCCCACTGCTTGCCCTGCTGGTGCCCAAAGTAAGAGGAAGTTGCTAAATATAAAGCCTGAAACCATGTATTCTTGATTATTAAAGCCCTCATTTTTCCTCTCACTTTCTGCCACACGTTCTTCCCAGTCTTCAGCTGGATTGTAGGCTCTTTGGAGCCAGAAATGTGCTCATGTCTTAATTTGTATTACTGTCACCCAAATACTAATGTCCTCAGATTTGAAAAGGAGGAAACAGAGCAGAGGCTTTATTGAAACCTCCAAAATTAGAACAAGCCTAGGAAAAGCTTCATTCCTTTTTTATCTTTTTGTTAAGGTGGGGAGACTTTTGCTTAAATTTTTTAACAGAGCAGTTTTCCTCCCATGCAATGAGCTGTATATATGTATATTGTATGTTTATTATACAATGTAATAATAAATATGTTGCATGGTATAAGATTATATATACCACTGTATTACTGTGTTGTATGTTTATGTATGTAAATGTGTATATGTAGGTATGTGTGTGTGTATGTATATATGTGTGTATGTATATATGTTGTATATACATGCAACTCAATGGATGGGAACAACACACACACACACATTATTCCTTACACAACAAGATAACACTCTTTATTGCTGAAGATATGTTCAGCCATATTTCAGAGGGGCTGAACAAATATACTACCCCTGATGAAGTCAGTGGGAGCTGAGAGCACACAGTAATTATGAAAATCTGATCATTAACTCTTTTTTTTATACTTGTCTTCAGTTATTTTTTGAGGTTCTTTTTTTCCCTGAAGAGCTCTTTATCCGAAATTCACGATGCCTGTTACTAACTCCTGAAGTATGCAAGGCTACAGAATACCGCATGCAGAATTAGTATTTACTAAGAATGTTAAATATTTATTTCTCATTTGTCCTCTAGGTCTGTCAGCAGCCAAATTGCTGGCTGAGTCTGGGCTGAGTGTCATTGTGTTGGAAGCCCGGGACAGGGTTGGAGGAAGAACTTTCACTGCAAGGGTAATTACCTCTGAAGCCACAGACCTAAATATCTTGTATGAAATACTGCACTGATTTCTTCTGAATACTGGAGGTTGGGATTCCAGGCAGTGGTAGGTACGAATGTGCTTTGCAATACAAAATCAGAGGCAGGGAGAATGTGGAGTTTCTGTGGAGACACAGAATTTTCATGAGATCTGTGGAGCCATCAATCCTTCCCTTCCCTTCCCCCTGGGACATGTGAAAGGAAAAGAGGATTACATGTGGGGCAAAGCCACTATTCCTTGGAGAGATGCTAGCGAGATGTTAGCAAGAGCTTGCGGATTTTTCATCTCTCTGTCAGAGGTCAGCAGTCTACAACCTGCAGGAGAAACCTGACCTGCCAAATAATTTTTAGAGTTGGCCCGTGGAGCTGGGCTGTTGGCAGCATTCAGTGCTGGGGGTGGTAGTTCAGCACTGGTGGAGAGGGAGTGCTTATAGCTGGGTTGTAAGTGGCAGCCTGCTTTTGGACTGAGGTGTATTGATTTGGGCCACCATTGCTGAAAGGTTGCTAACCCCTGGATTATATGCGTGTACACACTCTCTCTCTCTCTCTCCCTCTCCCCCCAGAAAACTCTCTCTGTTAAAAATAATATTTTCTTACAATATATTGAAAAATTACTTACCTTTTTTTCTTGTCTTTTGATAAACCAGAATAAGCAAGTTAAATATGTGGACCTTGGAGGAGCGTATGTGGGACCAACACAAAATCGTGTTCTGCGGTTGTCCAAAGAACTAGGATTACAGACGTATAAAGTGAATGAAGTAGAACATCTTATTCACCATGTCAAGGTAAGACAGGATCCATATCTGAAACATTGCTGCAGATTTCAAGTTACATCTTTTTCATTTCTCCAGGGACTGTGCACTGATTTAGGTATGTTATCCCCAATGTTTCCTCAAAAGATTGAATCACTACTAAAGAAATTATGCAAAATACTATACGTATGTCCTGCTACTTAATAGAAACATGTCCTGCTAGCTGACATATTAAACTAGCTTTAATGTAATAATGATGTAATAATGTAAGCATATCAAAATGGCAAGGCCAACCATTTTATCTAGTTATTTATTCTAGGTACTTCAGTTTTTCGGTGACCAAAGTTAATGGAAACTGTAGATTTCCAGCACTCTTGAAAATCATGCCTGGAGGGCAGTCTCACATTTGTCCATGACCACTTCTGAAGAATTTGTTCTAGTGAAATAAAGTCTGCAAATTAAGGATTAGTTTCCCTGTGTGAAATGCAGAATAATTAAGGCTCTGATTGCCTGAGGAGAAGAGTACCCTGGTCATGTAGCATGCCCCCAAATGACTTGTCTGAAGTCTGAAATGAGACAGTTGGTAAAAGAGTCCAGAGTTTGATTCTTTGTGCCCTGTGTTACCCCAGAGAACATCCTTCTTTGGTCAAAGTGTGTATCAATATTGTATTTCCACAGAAAGGAGGGTTTTTAGTTCTAAATTACACATTTTCTGAATATACTCCTTGCAGATCTCATCCATGACCCCCCAAATCTTCCCTCGATATTGTTTCCGAATCAACAAAAGTATTACAAGTCTAAATACAAATGGGCACTACATTTTGTGTGCTCTCTGAAATCTAGATGGCATTTTTAAAATTTTTTGAAGTTCTCCCCTGTAAGCTAGACTCTAAAAGGCTCAAAGGTCTCTCTGCTCTCAGTGTATTTGAATCCTAATACTGACCAAAACCTTTGTAGCTCAAGTCAATTCTAATTAAATTCTGTAGGATGTGACCCTTAAAGCAGATGAAGCCTGAAGATGTTGATACGCCTTCCAATATTCTACCAAACATCCATTCAATTAAGCTGCTGCTTCTATGTATACCTGAGGGAGGAAAAATGAAGCTCTTCAAAGTTAATTAAATTCATTTTACTGGCTTTCTATTTCAGGTGATGGATGCAGCTTCTTTTGTACTACAAAATAAAAGGAATACATTTTGTTTATCTCTGGGTGGGTCTTGGTCAATTAGACTCTGCAATCTAGACTGAATGCTGGTTTTTCCCCCTTTAATCTTCTTTGAATGCCAACTTCTATATCAGAATTTTTTTTCCATTTCACTTGTATGTTTTATATCTCCATTAAAATAATATTTTTTGCCTTCCATTTTATGCTTTTTTCCATTTACTGAGTGTCCTTTCTCCTGGGCTTCAAAAGGAGAATAAAATGGTTCGTTTCTATTTGGTTAATTACTGATTCACCAACCTCTCTGGCAAAAACAGTCCAACTCTGGGAATAGTGTTTGGTAGATTAAGTGCTGCAAAAAGCCAGCAAAAGCAATGTATATAAATATTCCACAAATGTTAAGCAGCACATCTAAAGCTAGGCTTCTAAATCCTTATTTATGTAGATAAATTTGCCTGATATTTCAAAGGCACAGCTCCTATTGACTAGATTTGTGGATGCTGAACAATTCTTAATATGAGGCCATTTTATTTAGGTGCCAAAATGTGGATAGAAAAGCCTAGCTTTAGGGAAGCAATCATGCTCACCTTGGCCATCAGCTTTTATTCATTTTGGCAAAGCGGTTGTTTTTGGATTTGAAAAACAAGGGAAAAAAATACTGATTTGTCATCCAGTTGAACATTCCCCACTTGATTGTATCACTCTTTGAGGTAGATCAAGTATAGGAATTAAGCTTTTTAACAATGTCTCTTAAAAGAAATTATTTGAAATATAATTGTAGATGTGGGATTACCTCTTTCTTGATGCACTTATCAGCAGACTTGCTTATTATTTCATTTGTCTTCTATTTCAAATTTGCTTTAATCCTGTTATCGATGTCTGTGTAATTGAGTAGCTGCTAGCATTTAAAACATACCTGCATATTTTTTCATGTATAAAATAGGAACTGATTTGTCAAGAGCACTGTCTTTGGGAGTAGGAGACTGAATGAAAGTTGGGAGTGTTGAATAAAAGTTGTATATGGAAACATTTTATTTATTTGAAACTCGTGATCCTCTAAGTTTTTAAAAAGTGCACACTTTTCTTGCACGCAACGGGTGCATCTACATGTGAAATTAATGCAACATCATAAACTCTGGAGCAATTTGAGCAGCAGTTTGAGCCAGGGCAGAGCAGTAGGGCTGTGCAAACCTTTGGTTGCTGATTCAATTCGTAGAAGACTCGGCCTGATTTGGCGGCCAAATCTCTGAAGCAGAATTTAATCAGGAGACCCATTAATCTCTCCAGATCGAATCGGAAGCCTCTGATTCAACCATAGACACAGCTTTATATGTTTTTTTTTCTGTGTACTTTGGGGTACCAGGCATGGCTTGTGAACACTGAGATGGTGGGGTGGATGGAGTGTCCCATGGGAGGGTGGAGGGGTCTCCTGTGCGCTCAGCAGTGGACCCGGAAGTACATCTGGTCCACTTCTGGGTCCGCCACTGAGCATGAACCCCTCCCCCCCCATGCTCCTGTGGAACTCTCCATCTGCCCTACCATCTCAGTGTTCATGAGCTGCACCTGGTACTTCGAGATACATAGAAGAAACATATAAAGCTGTGTCTATGACCGAAGTGCTGATTCTCTGAATTGGAATCAAATCTTCAGATTCAGATTTGGCCGAATTGAATTGGGACAGTGATCTGAATCAGTGAATTGAATCAGTGTCCCCTGAATCTGAATTGAATACTGTCTGCTTTGCATACCCCTACAGAGCAGCCCCGGGCTGGCAGCAGGCTTGGGGATCAGCCCCAGGCTCTGGATGGCAGCATCAGGCAATGTTCTGCTTTGGATTGACTTCATGGCAAGACATCATCAACGTAACATTTATTCCTTTTCAATTTCCTACTGTCTTACTATGGTAACGCAGTGGTGTAGGTGTCTTTTTAGGGGTTCAGAGACATGAGTTTGAGTTCTGCTGAAAACTGCCACCCCCAGTGGACCTAGTCATAAATGGACACCTGGAGTGCATCCGGACAAGTGTTTATGTGTGGTTTGCAGGCCCATCTATGGTGCTGCAAATCTCATGCGCTACACATGTGGGCATTTGCCGTGCTGCTAATTTGCAGTGTGGCAAGATCCCAGTGTCAAAAAAAACCCTGTGCCAGAAAAAATCAAGGCGGCGCACATGGTGGCAGCATGTGCTGCCCAAAACAAAAGCCTGGCTGGCCAGAGCCATGCTTCAGCAGCCAGCCAGGCTCCGCACCCCTGGATTGCCACTTCCTGAGGCAATTGTCACTGCCAGGTTCTGGCCCCAGCTTCCCCTACCCCACCTGGAGGATTTTTCCCTGCGCTAACCCCACATACAGGGATGTGTGCCAAGGCAAAAAGCAGTGGTCCAAATTTGTGCTACTGCCTTTTTCCCCACCACAACTGCGCTACCTTGCTCTTGGGGACACATTCCTGATTAGTCATTCAGGCTGGGGAACTTAAAGCAGCTCAGCATTGTTCCCTTTTGTGCTGTTGGCTTCAAAAGCTAGTGTCCCTCAGTTACGTTAAGCTGTTAGGTTCAGACAGACCTTTGACTTTGATGTTTGACCAACTTATTGCATAGAGTGACTGGTGCCCTAAAAGTACCAAGCAGTAACCACTGAAAATATTATCTAGTTCTCTGTCTGCCTGCCTGTCTTACAGTAAAACATATTGTACTTTACAGACATTTCCTCAAGCAGTAAAAGTTGACAACTTCTTACTAGAGTTTTCAAAATACTGAGAGCCAAACTATGGCTAGGACTTGCCATAACCAGATTCATGGAGAATTATTAGTAGAATAAGAAGAATCCCCTGGGAAGGTGTCTTTTTAACAAATGTAGTTCTTGTTCCTTCCTAGCATCTTTGGAAGAATTAAGTATCTAATAATAGCGAGATAAACGTTTTCCCCACCCAGGCATTTGCCAAGAGGTTGGCCAGATGTTGGTGGGGTCATAGGCCTCATGCTCTTCAAGGCTGCCACAGTTTTTACAGTGGTGAATACAGTGCATCTACTGTGAATACCTAGGAGGAATTCTAAGTGTGCCAAAACGCCTAGCATGTCTCTGAAGTCATGTTCTGTTGTTAGAAAGTGAATGTTTACCCTTGTGTACATAGTAGGTTTAAATGAAACCACAAGCCTGTATAAATGTGAACAGATTGCATACTGACCTGTATCAGATCTGTGTAGAAAATCTTTATAGTTCTCTGGCTGTCATTCATTTTCAGTACTACTGTGGAGCTGATGTTGGTTATTAAAATATAATTTGCTGTGGTTTTGTTCATGAATAAATGATAAGATGCCACTATTTTATGGGGATTTAATTAGCAGCGGGGTAAGTAGATGTTGTATCTGAAGGTATATGATTTAGTGGTATTTCTTATTTCTGTGGTATAGTGATACATGCATTTGTGTTAAAATATATGATTTATTTAAGTCTTTGACCTCCTTTACAAAAATTAATGACAGTTTCTCTTAGCAAAGCTTAGACTATAACAGCTTAAACGGATTTTAAATGACTTGATGAAATTGCTTCCATTTTTCTTTTATCTCTTCTGTCTCTGAATGAATTTTAATTAAACCAGAATATATGAGAATCTTAGTTGCTATCAGAGTTAAGCAACCAAAAAATAATCATGGCTTGTATTTTTTTTTTTTTCCCCTCCTCACCCAATTGCTTTACTGATTGGTTATGAGTGAGACCCACGCAGTAAAGATCTGGAAGAACCAGGTTCAAACTTCTGATCTACCAGGTCACCCACATCTTAGAGGAGTGCCTGCCTGTACCATGAGGCTAGTGGCTATACTGTGGGATTCTGGGAAGAAATGCAGCAGTAATAACTACAGTGGCACTTTTCT